TAAGGACAGTAATAGATTATACCCATTGACTAAGACTCCATGAAGCCATACTGGTGACTATTACAGATATGCATATAGATACATGAGAAGATGGAAAAGCACTTCCTCATATTAGAATCCTGACTAATAATGAAGGAATATGGAGTTAAAAGTCACCAGTTCGCAAGCATTAGAGCAAAAATTTATTCAAGCAAAAATGGATGCTAAATATAGGGGATAAATCTTGATGAGGAACAGGATATTTACACAGTCTCATGGTATCTCTACTACTTATTAATTACAAAAGCAAGGTTAGTAACTGTCTACAATGGAAGAAATGTACAATACCTTAACCAGGTGATCAAGATTAATCCTCAAACAGGCAAACACATTGTGTGCTTCTGTATGCATGAACTGAGAAAGGAATAATACCTCTTACATAGTAGTCTAACCAAAAATCTCAGTTTAATCACGGAAGCATCAGAGGGACCCAAATTGAGAAACAGTCTGTAAAATAACTACCTGTATTCAAAAATGTCAGTAGCATGAAAGCAGGAAGGGAAAAAAAAGACACTGAAGAACTATGCCAGATTATAGGAGACAAAAGAAATACAGCAACAAAGTATAATACGGGATTCTACCTTAGGTCCTGTATCAAGAAGTTGCTACATAGGACATTGTCGAGACAGTTGACAAACTTGGAATATGATTTTATATGAGATAAAATCATCAATGTTAAATTTCCCAAGTCTGATAACAAATGTGTGTATGTACGTTAATGTTCTTTTTGGGAGTTACTCTGAAATGCCATAGGGTAAAGGGACATGTATGTTATCTGCTCTCAGATGATTCAGAAAGAGTGTATATGTGTTCTGGGGTGGGGGAAGGGAAGAGAGAGAATGAATAAGTTAATGTGGCAAGATGTTAAAAACTGGTGAATCTGGGTAAAGGGTATTTAAGTGTTCTTTGTACTATTACAGTTTTTCTGTAAGTTTGAAATTATTTCAAGATAGATTAAATTTTTTTAAGTTTATAGAAGTTTTTATAGCTGCCTTGAACTGGAAACAACCCAAGCATTGGGTTGTTTTTTCCCCCCAACCCAAGTATTTCTTAGCGGAAGATAAAATTGTATCGTCAAATAAATTGTGGTTTATACACATAACAAGATGCTACACACACAACATTGGATGAACATGCATTGAGGAACGCGTATGCAGATTGTTAGCTGGGGGAGCTGAAATACGTTGCCCTTTGCTGTGGCTATTGCAGAGGCTGGTTCTTCCTCCCTGACTACCCCCATCTGCAAGTAGTAGGAACAAGTAAGTCTCCAGTTCTAAAACTGTTAGGAAACAAGAGCTGCCAAAACAGATGTTCCAGTAAGTGTTAGATGGGTACAAAAGTTACTGCGGTTCTTGCCATTAAATGCAAAAACCGTAATTATTTTTGCACCAAGCTTAATAGACTCTGCATACATGTTGTGGGAGGGAGCGGTCCTCTGAAGGATAGAGGAGATGAAGAATTGGTTCTAGCTGCTGTCTGGTGCTACGTTTGTGGGAAGGAGTTTAGGGGTCAGTGTTTTCCCCTTTTAAGGGTAAGAATCATAATTGAGACCATAGCCAGATGCCTGTACAAGGCACATAGGGAAATAGTAACTCAAGTTACAGCAGCTAAAGGAAAAGGGAATGTTTGTCATTGCAAAGGTAATTGAAAGGTGTTGGGCTGTTTGGGAATATAAATTTTTATTGGCATTGGGGATCCTTATCAGGAATGTTTCTTCGATAAAACAAAGGTATTTTATGGTTCAGATGACTATTGAAATATCTTTCAATATTTTCAATAAAAGCACAAAGAAATTATGCTTTTAATGATTTGATTTGGGAAGATTCCATCACCGTATTAAAAAATACATTTATTATATATTCAAAAGATTTCTTTTTTTTTTTTTTTTTTTTTTTTTTTTTTTTTTCACTCTGTCGTTCAGGCTGGAGTGCAGTGGCACGATCTTGGCTCACTGCAACCTTCGCCTCCTGGGTTCAAGTGATTCTCCTGCTTCCACCTCCCAAGTAGCTGAGATCATAGGCATGCATGCCTGGCTAATTTTTGTATTTTTAGTAGACACGGGGTTTCACCATGTTGGCCATGCTGGTCTTGAACTCGTGACCTCACATGATCTGTCCGCCTCAGCCTCTCAAAGTGTTGGGATTACAGGTGTGAGCCACCGCGCCTGGTCTCAGGAGTTTATTTAAGTAGGACAGCTGCACTTTGTCTCTTGTCCCCTGTTGGGACAGGAGCGGGACAGGAGCATAGTTCCCCACATGGGCCCTCAGAACCAGCTCAGCACAGGCAAGCTTCAGTAGGAAGGCCAGGCTGGTGGTGCGGAGGGCAGGAAGCAGCCGCAGTGCAGGGCCTGCTGTCCTTTGGCATGTGCGTGCCTTTCACCTCTGCGGTCAGGAGAGACCCACTCTGATTTCCTCCGCAGAGCAGCCACCCAGCAGCTACATGCGGGACACCCCGTATGTGAGGAGTCCAAGCAGAAGCTGGGACACAGGAAGTTGTCCAGGTGAGAGATGATGGTCCAGGCCAGGGCTGATGGAGACCTGCACTGGGGTTCTAACTTTATATAGTGGCCAGGTGCAGTGACTCACACCTGTAATCCCAGCACTTTGGGAGGCCAAGGCAAGTGAACCACTTGAGTCCAAGAGTTCAAGACCAGCCTGGGCAACATGGTGATACCCCATCACTACAAACAAATAACCAAATCAGCTGCGTGTGGTGGTATGCACCTGTAGCTCCAGCTTCTTGGAAGGCTGCGGTGGAAGGATCACTTGAGCCTGGGAGGTCAAGGCTTCAGTGAGCCGTGATTGGGCCACTGTACTACGGCCTGATGACAGAGCGAGACTCTGTCTCCAAAAAGAAAGATGATAGAGCTAAAGTACCAGAGAACATGATGAGTTGTGCCGGAGAAATTGCATAGGTTTCATTTACTGAGTAGGGAGAAGGCTTGCAGGCGGCAGATTTAGGGGCATTCAGGAGTTCTCTTTAGGCCATGGTAAGTTTGAGGTGCCTTTTGACATCCAAAGGGTGATGCTGAGCAAATGGTTTGTAGCCCTGTCTGGGACTTAGATACAAGGACAGTGGCGGAGTTATTAATTTTCAGTGTCATCGGAGTAGAGATGGTAGAAGTCAAAGGATTGCTGTCCGGGTTTCCTGTGACTGTCATAGCAGAGCACACATACCAGTTGATATAAAGCAACAGCTATTTATGCTGTCACAGTTCTGCAGGCTGGAAGTCCAGGACTGGGTGTCAGCAGGAGCATGCCCTCTCCAAAAGCTCTAGAGGAAAATCTTTCCCACCCTCTTCCCACTTCCGGTCCATCTTTTGTGTGACGGACGTCCTCAGCCTGCAGCCGTGTTGCTCCATCTCTGCCCCGCCATCAGATGGCCTTTCCCCTCTATCGATGTCCAGATCTTCCTCCTGCATGAAGACACCAGTCGTTGGGTGAGGGTGAGGGCCCACCCTGCTCCAGTATGACCTCATCTTAACCTGCTTTCCTTTGCAAAGACCCTATTTCCANCCGCCTCGGCCTCCCAAAGTGCTGGGATTACAGGCGTGAGCCACCGCGCCCGGCCTCAAAAGATTTGTTTCTAAAGAATCAGGGAAGTCAACAAATCTGATGCTATTGGATTATGTAGGAGTATAAAATATAGCACATGAGAAATTTTAATAGTTTTTTAAAAACCTATTTTTATCTAAAAAGCAAGTTTCAGCTCATAAAAAAGTGATAATCCAAGTGTTAAGAGAACTTTTTACTGTAAAACTGATATAAATTATGCATAGATTCCCTGGAAAGCCCTCAGAAGTCTGCTAATTCCTAATGCCACTAAATATTGTTTCTTTGGGAAAATATATTCTGATTCCTAACTACCAACAATAATTATAGGTTTTAAATCTCTCCTTTTTCCTCTCATGGAGTTTATACAATGGGTTGTTTTCCTCTTCGTATCTGAGGCCACAGGAGCAGGAGGGATTGCAAAGGCCTTTATTAGAGTATCCATCCGGTGACCCTGGCAGAGAAACTTAGGATCTAACCCTGGGATCTGGCTAGGGCTCTGTAACTGACTGTTAGCCAGCCCTGCCTTTCTAGGATAATTATATTTATAGTGGCTTTGCCTCAGGTGGTTTCTGGAAGTTGATGACCATGCCAATTATTAAGTCCTTAGGTTCCTAACATAGAGCATTTAGGAGTAACAGGAGTTGTTTTCTTTGCTTCTCAACAGGTGCCTACCTATTGGGCCACCTTTATACCTTAAGTTTTCAGTTCGCAAAATGTGGATTGTATAACCTGTTTCTTCCTTGGCCTCTCAGGTGGTGTTAAGGATTATTGAAAAGTGGATAAGATTCTTCGAAAAAAAGATATTTATAAAGTATGACTCCTAGAACAAGATACAACAAAAATCCACAAAACACCTTATATTTTATATAATTGTCTATCTTCATGGCATTTAAGTTTTTTATGGCTCACTGATTTTACTTATTCAGCTTTATTTGCTATGCTGCTTTTTTATGTTAAACTAGGGTGTCAGCTTAAAACATTTGTGAATAATTCATAACATTCAGTAAGCATTAACTGTTAAATGTGAACTCTTGTCAGCCGGCCTATGAAGTATAATTGTCAATGGCGATAAACAATTATGCTTTGGTTTTTAGTGAATGAAAAAAATAAAGAATGAGGGAACCTTAACACTTTTAACCTAAAAGATTGTATTTTGCCAACTTTCCTTGGGCAATTGGTGAATACTGCAAATCTCAGGCATATGTCATCAGTGATTCTAAAGGGATTGTATTTGTTCCTGCATTTGTTCCTGAGATTAAAATTGCTTTTCATTTGAATGATGCTTTTGAGTTGGCAGCAGGGCAGGGATCAGATAATTTGTTGTCACAAATTTTTACTTTATTGTGATGTAATTATAGATCATCATTCTCATTTTTGTTTTTTCTCTTTTTCTCCTTCTTTTTCTAGTCCTTCCTCCTGTGCTGGTTCCAAGACACAGTGAATATAATCCTCAGCACAGCCTCCTAGCTCAGTTCCGTAACTTAGGACAAAATGAACCTCACATGCCACTCAACGCCACTTTTCCAGATTCTTTCCAGCAACCCAACAGCCACCCATTTCCTCACTCTCCCAATAGCAGTTACCCAAACTCTCCTGGGAGCAGCAGCAGCACCTATCCCCACTCTCCCACCAGCTCAGACCCAGGAAGCCCTTTCCAGATGCCAGGTAGGTTGAAATGTTCAGTGTTCTGTGGTCAGATCAGTTAGTGTTATCACGGTGTCACAGAGAGGCTGGGTCAACCTGCAGTAGAGGGAGCTTTTCAGCCCTGGTATATGACACAGTGCTTCAGCACTTTCTGGGTACGATTTTTGGAGAAAGGAGACCTCATAGCCAAGTAAGCAAATGTCTTCTTTTACTTGTCAGTCACAGATGCTTGAATAAGCTGTATTTTTCCCTTCTTTTTAAAAGGTTTTGAAACAGCTGCAACCTTCTGGGAGTGGCATAATTGTTACAGTCTTTACTCTTGATAAAAAGAAAAATAGTATGTTTACACATTTGCTCTTATGAGAACACAACCTCAATTAACATCATTTTCATACATGGAGAAACTCCTGTTGTAAGTGCAACCTCAGAAAAGATATTTCCTGAGGGATCACACCACTACTTAATTAAATTTATTTAAATGATGATGTAATCCCAAGAAACACATATTTGAACAACAAAGGAATTAGAACAGAAGTACTGGAAACCATCTGCTTGTTCAATTTAGCAAACACAAAAAACAATTATCTTCTTTTTTTAGACATAACTAATGTCGTAATGGTTATCAAAATAAATGATTAAAAACAGGTTAATGAGCAAGCATCTCCAAAAAAAAAAAAAGTGCCAAATTTCTTGCCAATAGACCTTAAGAAGGATACCCTAAACAAAAATGTACTTAATATCTATTAATGTTTTAGGAAAAGAAAATGATTGGGCATGTATGTTTATTGGGCTGCTTGAAATGTTTTTACGTAAATTTGAATTTAATATCAGTGCTAGGCCTTCAAAAATTGACAAGTAGTCCACACTTTATACTGCTTCCTTTTATTTATGTATGTATTATTTTCTTTTATTTAAATCTCATTTATTTCACATTGTTTTGTCTGTTTTTCACTCCAAAGCTGTTTGGGATGAGGGTTGGGAGATAGACTAGTTTAAAAATCAAACTCACTGGCGACTTCTGTCCACCTCACCCCCTTCCACCTCACCACTAACCTGTTTGATGGGCAGGTTAGTGGTGAGGAGACACATTTCAGAAGACTTTTGAGCAGTGGCAACCCCGAGTGGCCCCAAGATTGAATTAAAGGTTATTGCTTGAATTTACACTTTGTTTCTAGGTGTCAGGGATTAAGGTAGGCCAAGTAGCAGAAAAATGGAAAATAGTTGCAAGGGATGGGAGGAGGTGCTTGTAGGAATAGTAGAATAGTATCAATAATTATCGGGTTCCTCTTGGTTATGCTGTTACCGTAAGTTGCCAATGAAATTTTCACCAGCTTCTTGGCAGAAATTCATTGATTTGGGCTCAGAGGAGGCTCTTTGTCTTTATTCCTGGCTTGAGATAAAGCCAATTCAGGCTTACAGCTGCAGGGAAGAGGCTAAATTAAAAGAAGCTGGAGAAAGGGCAAAAAAGACATCCAGAGAAGGTCCCAGTAGTCCTGTCTCAGTACTGTGAGTCGTTGCTTGTTGGCAGCTGGATGTAAAGTTACTGGATTGGGATTCAGCTGGAGAGTGAGTCTTGGAAATCACTGGGGCTCTTTGAAGGAACAACATGAGTTATTTGTATTTGACAGTTGTTCTGAGTGGTCTTGATTACTTACCCAAGCATTCACGATTCCCTCAGGTAAAATTTTGTCTCCAAGGCTCTGTCATGTATGTCAGATGGGCTCATGATAGCTAGTGAGGAACTTGCTTTTGGGTAGAAAAGAGCTATTTGTGAGAAACCTATACCTTTTTTTTTATGTTAAGAAAATGGAAGACTTGTGTTAGTATTCTTTGTTGAAAAAATCATGTTTGCCTCTTATTTCCAGAAGAAACATATACACAAATTCTGAAGTAGAAGATAGCTGTGATAAACTGATTCATTTTCTTTTCTGTTACTAGGGATTTAAAAACTAGTGATGATTTAAATGGGTAGGGAGAATGTGGTCCTAACAGATTGCCTAAAGTCATGAAAAATTAACAGTTCAAATCAATAGGCTATAATGAAACTCAGGTAAATTTCCTAAAAGCCCATAGATTTAATGCAAAAGACCCTGAAGCTCCTTTTCTTAAGAAGTCCAGTGAAGTTTGCAGAGGTTTTCCTCTACCAGTGAAACTGAAATGTAGTGGTCCTCTCAAAGCAGAATAAAGTATGCTTAAAATACTCTTCTGATTGGATAGGCAAACAGCTTCTGGAACTGGCTTATAGTATAATACTTTTCCTCCCACTTAATTTTCACAAAAATGTATATGATTGTGGCATGATTAATACTTTTTAGAAATTGTACATCAAGGCCAGTGCCTGTAGCCGTTAGTCTTTTAATGGGGAGGTTGAAATGGCAACTTGATCTCTTAAGAGTTTCAGTACAGAAGAGGATATGTGTTTAAGGGTTAAGAAATAACTTCTTTCAAAACTTTGTAGCTGATACGCCCCCACCTGCTTACCTGCCTCCTGAAGACCCCATGACCCAGGATGGCTCTCAGCCGATGGACACAAACATGATGGCGCCTCCCCTGCCTTCAGAAATCAACAGAGGAGGTAAAACCAATTGTTACCTCTTCCCTTTCTTAGAGTCTAAAGTTTATCTGTCCAGATGTTACTTTCGCTCACAAATTTTTATTAGTCTTTAAAAAGAGAGCTATTTGAGAAAAATAGAGCCCAGTGATAAGAGAAGATCAGTAGAATTCCTTCAAGTCTTTCATTTAAAGAACAAATACACTGACTTAACTAATGAAGACCTGAGAATGATTTTGCAGTCATCTGTTTAGGTCTTTAATACTTATAATTTTTAACTGATGATGAAAATTTTTTTTTTTTTGAGACTGAGTTTTGCCCTTGTCACCCGGGCTGGAGTGGAATGGCACCATCTTGGCTCACTGCAACCTCTACCTCCTGGGTTCAAGTGATTTTCCTGCCTCACCCTCCTGAGTAGCTGGGATTACAGGCCCACACCACCATACCCAGCTAATTTTTGTATTTTTAGTAGAAATGGGGTTTCACCATGTTGGCCATGCTGAACACAAACTCTGACCTCAGATGATCCGCCCACCTCAGCCTCCCAAAGTGCTGGGATTACAGGCATGAGCCACTTCACCCAGCTGAAAAGAGTATTTTTAAATGAACAAAATGGTATTCAGAAACAATAAGCATAATAGAACTGAAGTAGAGTTTCACTGGTGGTTTCCAAAGTTGGAAGTTGGTATAACTGGGCTGTCCAAAGGCTTTCTTTTGTAATTAAGATAGATACTCATAAACCTCATCTATTTTTCAGTCCTTATGTATGTGTAACTACAACTGGAACAAACTAATAGCATTTCTTTCTTGCTGTTTGTTTCTAACTTTTTTAGTAAAAGAAATTGAGGCACAAGTTTTACCTCTTCTCAACCTGAAGAACTTGCAAGCAGTAATGAAAATTTCTTTCCCCCTTTACTAAAGGGTGGATCTTTGATTCCAGCACTATATTATCCTTAGCAGTGCTGGGTGGAGGATCATTCTTCTAGCTCTACATAGACAAGTAGAGTAGACTTAAGTGAGCAGAGAACTCAGGTAAATAAGTCTGGTAGAATCTCTGAGAATTTGTTAGAATCCACAGCCACACTGGCAAATAAAACTGTTCCTAAATAACCTCTCATGAAAGAAGGTGCGTCACCGCTGCACTCAGCACATGGCATGGGTCATGCAATTTGTATAATGTTGATGCAAATTGAAGTTAAAGTGCAGTTTGATTACTAGGCATGTCTTATTTCATTCTTAGTGCTTTTTTATTAAAATAGGAGTTGCTTATATTTTTGAGTACTTGAAATTGATTTTGTCTGTATGATACATTATACAATGGTAGCTGCATGTCATTATACATTTGTCCAAACCCATAGGATGTACACCACCATGAGTGAACCCTGATGTAACCTATAGACTTTGGGTGTAGGTCTGTGGGATGAATGTAGGTTCATCAGTTATAACAAATGTACGACTCTGGTGGGGAAGAGTTGTACATTTGTTAACGGGGGAGGCTAGGAAGGTGTAGGGGGTTGGGGGGCATATGGAAAATTACTTTACCTTACACTCAGTTTTGCTGTGAACCTAAAACTGCTCTAAACATCAATTTAAAAATTGGTGATGAAGGCTGAGTGCCATGGCTGTAATCCCAGCTCTTTGGGAGGCCAAGGCAGGTGGATCACCTGAGGTCAGGAGTTTGAGACCAGCACGGCCAACATGGTGAAACCCTGTCTTTACTACAAATACAAAAATTAGAGGGGTGTAGTGGTGGGTGCCTGTTGTCCCAGCTACTCAAGAGGCTGAAGAAAGAGAATCACTTGAACCCAGGAGGCAGAGGTTGCAGTGAGCTAAGATCACACCATTCTACTGCAGCCTGGGCAACAAGAGCAAAACTCAGTCTCCAAAAAAATAAAAATAAAAACAAAAGTTAGTAATGAACTCAAAGGACCTTTCTTAGATGTTCAGTGTAATAAATTGGAATGTACACCTTTTTAATCAGTATAATTTTAAAATCATTTTTATTGGCTTCATATGTTATGGTTCCTGATTATCTCTTGAACATGTTATCAAACGTAATTATAAGTCAACAAACACTCTCATTGGGGAAATAGCCTATGTCTCACACATCTGTGGAATTTATATTTGGGGACCAGGATAGCAGGAGAGAATAGGCACAAAGTACCTCGCTATTAGGAGCATGTGGACCCAGTAACTATTGTTGCTAAGCCCAGAATGTCTGATTTCAGGAAACAGATCTTTAAATTGCTTTAAGATTTTTTTCATTTAAATAGTTTTAAATTTTTTTGCCTTTTTAGTTTATAGTCATTTAATATTTTCATGAGAAAGGAATGTTGGCCTTTTTTTTCTTTTCCCCTTTTTTTTCTACTTTTCTTTAACCTTTGGTGATTTTCTTAGAGCAGGGGTCAACAAACAACAGCCCACAGGACAATTCAGCCCACTACCTGTTTTTGTAAATAAAGCATTATTGGACCACAGCTATATTTATTCATTACATATTGTCTGTGACTGCTTTTGTGTTACAAAGGCAGAATTGGATAGTTGTGATAGATTATACAGCCCATAAAATCTTTCTGGCCTTTCACAGAAAAAATTTATCAACCTCTGACCTAGATGAATAGTATTTTGAAGTATCCTGGTAGTTGATAAAAGCCTTCTGTTAAAATGCTGCAATCTGCTTTAAGATTTGTAAATCACTGAAGTTTTGTTCTTTGAAATATAGCAAATTGATACGGTAGAGTTGCTTAGCAAGCGGGGAAGATAGTGTATGTTTTTAGCTAACTACTTAAGTATGTAAAGCAACTAACTTATGTCTGGGCTTTTTAGTGAGTATTTTCCTTGTTTTTTTGGTGTGTGTGTGTATATGTATGTGGTGTGTTTTTCTTGTTGTTGGTTTGGTTTTGTTTTTACCAAATTCTAAAGTAAGTGCATTTCAGTATTTGTGAAATTTGATGTTAACAACACAGAGGTGCTTCGTCCCTTAGCAATTATAGCCTGGGCTTCTGATGTGGACTTTCTTTTCTTTCTCTTATTATTCTGTACCCAAGACTTCATAAACCCCAGATCATTATATATTGGTTTGCTGGAAATACATGGTTTGTATTCCTGGAATCTCTAAAGCAGCGATACAAGAAGTTTTACTACAGAAGGAATTCATCTTTAAAACCTTTTAGTTGCAAATGTTTAGAAGCATGTTCTGTTTGGAGAGATTTGTTAGTCTTAAGAGATTTGACCTAACAAGCTGCATCCTGTCAGTGAAGTTGGGTAATTTCCATTGTTGGCCCATTCTGGGAATGGAGAGACAAAACACACCTGCTCTGCATGACTTAAAGCAAATATAAGGAAGTTAGCATGAAATCTGGATGAGAAAGATATGATTCATTCTGTAAGAATGGCCAGCTGGCAAGATTTCTTCCTGAGTTTGAGAACTGGAGCACCACTGTAGCTGTGATAGTTATTGGCAACTTAATATGAGGTAAAGTAACTTCTTATCAATAACTAGAAACTGATTTTCATTGCTTTGAAAAAGCGTAGGGATACTTAGTCTTTGCCAAAACGAATTCATTTTTATGCCAGTACTTTTGGCATATTTCCTGTCTTGTATTGCCCTCTTCCCACTTATTTTTTCACTTGTCACTTGTTGTGTTTCTTTAGATGGTGAGTCAAAGTCTATAGTGGGGTGATTTCCATTTCTGCATATTACAGAAAATTACCATATTGTTAGTATTTGGCAAAAGTTGTTGCAATGCTTCCTTAACTGGTGTTTTGGTTATCTGATAGTAATTGGAGAAAATTGTTTTCCATTAAAGGAGAATGTCATATTTAGTAAGAAGTACCTGCTTTAAACATCATAGAAAAACTGTATACATTATAATAGCAGTTGCTTTTCCAATATCATCATTCCATGATCCTGAGCCAATTCAACAATACGGTTTCAATTTTTGAGAGCCTGAGGCACTAACCTTGGTTGATAAGACATTTTCTTTCTTATAGATGTTCAGGCAGTTGCTTATGAGGAACCAAAACACTGGTGCTCTATTGTCTACTATGAGCTCAACAATCGTGTGGGTGAAGCATTCCATGCCTCCTCCACAAGTGTGTTGGTGGATGGTTTCACTGACCCTTCCAACAATAAGAACCGTTTCTGCCTTGGGCTGCTCTCCAATGTTAACCGGAATTCCACTATTGAAAACACCAGGCGGCATATTGGAAAAGGTGAGTCTTTGCTTTAACCTCTTTCAGATGTTTTCAGTTGTGTCCCTGTTCCTCCAGAGCTGACTTAAAATCATTCCTATACCAAACTAGTATAGCAAAGGCCAGGTAATATTCACTTGCTGCAGTTTGTAAATATTTTTCCAGTGTCTTCTACCTGGAAGCTCTTGCAGTCAGTGATTTTTGTGCTCGATCAACTCTCATAATATTGAAATTAATTAGCTGAAATTATGATTTGCCATTTTAAGACTGTTTTATTTGATATTTTGCTACAGAATAAATTGACGGTTAAAAAGTAAATTACAACCTAAAATTAAAAGCAAATTAAACTTAATTGCTAATTGTATTTCAAATGAATACTGTAACTCAGTAAATAGAAAACTAGATTCTAGCACAAACATCGTGCGAGGTGGCCAAATAGAACCCTGCAGTGGTTGTCCCCCAACAGGGACACCAAAGTGAACAACTATCCACATAAGAAAGCACCTTCATAAGAACAAGAAATCGGGCATGGATGTATTTATAATAAGAGAAAGTAAAAACCGAAAAGCAAGCCTAATAAGTTCCCAATTATAGTATGTGACTATATATCCTCAGTCTAGGCGGAGTGGAGTAGATAGAGTAGGGGGAGGATTTCAAATAAATCCTGAACTGTTTTTAGTAAACTTGATTATTTCATAGCTGTGTGAGTGAAACCATTCTGAAACTTTCATATGTATTAAGAGATGAAGCAAATGACTAAATATGTGGATATTGTTGGGAGCCTGGGTTTCCACTGTGGAAAAATGGACATAGAAAGGCAGAAGGGAGCAAAAAATAAACCCTATAAAGGAGGATGAAGGTATCAGTGCAAAATCCTGATTTTAATAATACATATGTGTATGCATATTTATGTTCTCATGTATTATGTATGTATATGTGTATGTATGCATATGTATATGTGTTTTTACGTGCATATAGTTTCTTATCTGCCTGCTGAAAGGACCCAGAAGCATACATACCCAGTAGCAATAAGCACACCTAATGTTCAGATCATCATCTCTGTCTAATACCATGTTCTACTAAAAGGAACTAGGGCTCCTTGAAGAAATGGCTGATCCCTAGGCTTGGACAGGTAGGCACAGGAATATCCTGGAGCATCTTGTTGTGGCAGAAAGTAAAGAAATAAAGAAATGCTTATGGAAATCATGGGGCATGCCTCAAGAGCCAACTTGGAGGGTCTTCCGCTGGCCAACTCTCAGACAATTTGAGCTTCAAAATAACTACACTGATGAATTTTATTTTATTTTATATAGACATATACATAATTTTATTTCATTATATATTATCTATATTATATGCATCATGTGTGTGTGTGTGTGTGTGTGTGTGTGTGTGTGTGTATTGACATGGAGTCTTCCTCTGTCGCCCAGGCTGGAGTGCAGTGGTGTGATCTGGGCTCACTGCAAACTCCATCTCCGAGGTTCAGTGATTCTTGTGCCTCAGCCTCCTCAGTTGCTGGGAGATTACAAGCGTGCACCACCACACTTGGCTAATGTTTGTTTAATTAGCAAGAGTCTGGGTTTCACCATGTTGACTAGGCTGCTCTCAAACTCCTGACGTCAAGTGGTCCACCAGCCTTGGCCTCCCAAAGTGCTGGAATTACAGGCATGAGCCACAGTGCCTGGCCTCAGTACAGTATTGAATTTTAAACCACTGATAAACAAATACGTAAGTCCATACTCATAATAAATAGATAAATAAGTGAATGGGGAAGGCTAATTGATAAATGTAGAGTGAGTGCTAAAGTTTGAATATCATCATTTTATCACCGTTATAGTAAGGATCAGGCAAGAATCATCAATGAATGCTAAATATAAAGAAAATTTTTATGAGAATCTTTATATTTGCATGGTCTTAGGAGTGTTGTCCCTCAAACTGCCTATTAGTACAAGGGAGAATAAAAAGCATTAACTAAACAGTGGATAAACTGTATCATTTGTATTTTCATAGTAATTGTATAACTGATGCCCTGTTTTGACTGGGGGATCAAAATTATCATCTCCAATGAGAGACAGATGGGTATCACATACCTCCAGATGTCATACCCTGAGAAGGCCGTAACATCACCTACGCAGGATTCCAGCTGAGAATGCAAATTCACATCTAATCCTGAGGAAATATGAGACAGACTCAAAGCAAGGAACATTGTATTAGAGAGGGTGAAGAAGGGGGATTAATTTTTCCAAAATATTATGTCAGAAGACAAATAAAGATATGAAATGTTCCAGATTAGAAGCAGTTAAAGAGATAGGACACTTGTATGCAATACCTGACCCTGGACATGATCCTGTACTGAAAAGGAGAAAAAATATACTGTAAAGGACATTATTGAGGTCAGCAGGCAAATCTGAAATATGAATGGTAGATTAGACTAATATATTTGCATTGCCAACTATACTATGACTATGTAAGAGACTATCCCTATTCTTAGGAAATACTTAAGTATTTAAGGAAGTGGTTCAGGAAGAAATTAGTACATAAAGATACCAGTCTACTCACCATCTATCTAAGACCTGTGTCACAATACATACGTACATACACACACATGCATGGTGCGTGTGAAGCAGCAGCGGGGAGGGAGGGCACAAGTGATCAAGCAAATGGAGTAAATTGTCACAGTAGACGCATCTGGATAATGATTTTACGAGTGTTCTTTTTTCTGTTTTTCTTTGTTCCCTTTCAAACTTTTCTACAAATTTGAAATTATTTCCAGAGTAAAAGTATGAAACAGTGACCTACTGTGAAATTCAGAACAGTGGACCAGATTAAAAGATTATTTATTAGATGCTTAAAAAGCACTCAAGGTAAAGTGTAGCATTTACTCCTGAGGGTAAGAAAACTCCAACTCTTAAATCAGAAATTGATAGATATTTTCTTATATAATTAAAGGAAAAAACACTATACATTTAATAATGAAATGCTAGAACTTAGGTTCACAGCATACATAGATATCGTTCTGTGGTCTGTAAACCTCTGAAATTGTATATAAACACAATTTTGCATACATTTGGGAGGGAAAGACATACTTTTCATTAAATTCTAAAGATGACTGTTATCCCAAAGTAGGAAAAAGAAAATGTCCTGTGAGATATTTCCTCTTAAAACATTATTAAGAAAATAAGGATTCTTGGAATGCTGTTATTCCAGATGCCCTGAGTAGTGTCCTCAAATACAGAATTATAGATAATGGAAATAAGTCAACATTATCATTATGTGTAGATGATATGTTTGATTGGCAATATTCTTGGAATAGACTCTTGAAGTGAAATTAGTAGATCAAAATCTCTTGATATATTTTACCAAATTACTTTGCAAAAAGTAATTCCAGCACTTTGGGAGGCCAAGGCAGGTGGATCAGTTGAGGTCAGGGGTTCGAGACCAGCCTGCACAATGTGGTAAAACCAGGCCTCTACTAAAAATATGAAAATTAGCCAGGTATGGTAGCAACACTTGTAATCCCCGCCACTTAAGAGGCAGAGGCACAAGTATCACCTGAATTTGGGAGGTGGAGGTTGCAGTGAGCTGAGATCAAGTCACTGCACTCCAGCCTGGGAGACAGAGAGAGACTCTGTCTCAAAATAAATAAATTAATTAATTAAAATAAATAAAATTAATTTGCACTCCTACCAGAAGTACATGATGAAAGCCTTTCTCTTTTCATCCATGCCAGTATTATGATTGGACATTGTGCCTATTCAAATGACATGATTGTTTATCTGGAAACCTCCATAGAATTTATCTTTTAAAAATTATGAAGTAAGTTTTCTTTAATCTGGTAAGAACATAGAAAGAAAGGGGAAATCTCCTTCCCAATAGCCACAGAAAACATCAATTTCTTGGAAATAATCTGAACCTGTAATATGTGAGAATTACATGAAGAATCCAAATTTTATTGAGAGAGAAAATTTGAATAAATAGGCAGTCTGTGTTCCTTAAAGGAAAGGCTTAATATTGTGAGAACATTTTAAGCATAGTCCATCTAATTTAATTTGTAGTTGAAACAATTCTTTTCAGAATCACAATGTAATTTTTTTGAAAGTTGGAAAATGTATTCTGAATATTACCCAGAAGTTTAAACAAGTGAGGCTAGCTATATTTGTAAACATTAATGAAAAAATTATTGGCATTAGGGTTAATAAAACATTGTAAAACTATAAATAAATCAGTGTGTAGACAAAACAGAATGAGTTAAACTCAGACTATACTGAGTATAGTATATAAAAATATAATGTATGTTAAGTGAAGCATAACAAATCAGTAGAGTCTTCTAATGGTTCTACAATAACAAAGTTAGCTTTTGGGTGAGGCTGGAAAAGAGAAACACTGACCTCAAACTATATATGCAAACAGATTAATGAGTTGAATGTTTTTAAAATGGCAAACAATTAAAAAGCTAGAAAAAAATATACTTGATCAGAGAGGTAGAAATTTTCTAAGCATAATAAGCAACAAAGGATCATAAGAGGTTTGACTAAGATTGCAAACTTCTGTAGGTTAAAATTATGTCACAAACAAAATTGAAAGACAAAGGACTAACAGGGAAACAAATAAGACATAAAGTGTTTATATCCTTCCTACATTAACAGTTCATTAAAAAAAATAAATAAATAAAACCCAGTGAGATAAATAGGTAAGAAACGTGAACAATGAATTCACAAGAGAAACACAGATGGCTAATAAACTATAAGAGCATATCTAGCCTTACAGGCAAATTAAACAATTATTTGTCAGTTATAAATTAGGGAAATTTTGTTTTTGCTCTACACTCAAATTCAGTACTGGCACGGGTAAAATGAGAAAGGCATTCCTACACTGCTGGTGACGGTGTAAATTGATGCATTCTGGAAAGTCATTTGGCAGAGAGAATCACTAGCCTTCGATCCAATAATTTAACTTCCAGGAATCTCTACTAAGGATATTATCAAAAATTGTCCAGAGACATTTATCATGGCATTATTATAAAAGCAGAAAATTAATATCAACCCAGTGATCCACTAATGGGAGAATCATTTTATAAATGCTCATACAATCATGCAGATATATAAAATGTTTGAAAAGACATTTTAATGATACCTAAAACCTAATACAGTGTATCAGAATTAATATTTATTGCCTCTAAGTCACTAAAAAATTGATAATATTTTCTGCTTCTTTATATTTTGATTTACTTTCTGATTTTTCAGAATGAAAATTTGTCATTTTTATTATCAGGAAAAATTAGTAGCACACACACTCTTAAATTGTTTTCTCTACATCAGGCCAAAAAAAATGGGCTTCTGCTCTAGCAGCTATTTAATTGTTTTAGAAATTCTAACCATTGTATATACATATAAATACAACATATAATATTTTCTGTGAGACAACAATTTAGCCTTGACTAAGTCATACCAGAGTTACCTACAATGTGGATCATTTCAACCCACATAGGATATAACGCTGCTGGGTGACCTGTATAAAGTCATCTCTCATAATGGTGTGGGGCTTTGTGAGAATGAGTTTTTTCCCGCTATTTTTCTTTTTTTAAGGCAGGGTAAGACCAATTTCCTACACTTTAAACACTCAGGTCTCACAGGAAGAAATTCAGAGCAGGTGGTAGTTTATTGAGATCTGATTTTACACTTTGTAGTTTTCTTTTCCACTGGATCTTGTATCTTACAGCTCTTGGCAATACTTCTTCCACCTGTGGTTTTCCAGTTTCTCTACTTCTGTTTCTCCACCCTTCCCTCTCTAAAATTTTCCTAACATCTTAGCTGCAGAATAAATGCAAGAGCACTTTATATATAGTAAATACATAGCATCCAGGTTTTGTTATGCTATATTTTTCGAGTGGAAATACACTTTCAATGTGTGGCCAAATAGGGCATCAATCACTTACCAAAATGAAATTGCTATGCTTTGTTGTTGTTGAGACAGGGTCTCACTCTGTCACCCAGTCTGTAGTGCAGTGGCATGATCACAGCTCACTGCCGCCTTGACCTCCTTGCCTCAAGCAATCCTGCCACCTCAGCCTCCATATAACTGGCATACACCACTATGCCTGGCCAATTTTTTGTATTTGTTTTGTGGAGATGGTGTTTTGCTCTGGTCTTGAACTCCAGGACTCAAGCAGTCTGCCTACCTTGGCTTCCCAAAGTGCTGGGATTACAGATGTGAACCACTGTGCCTGGCCTATAGGTATTTTTAAAACATTTTGTTATGTTTTTTTCTAGAAACCTCCTAAATATTGTCTTAACTAATACAGTTAACTAAGATTTTATCAGTCATACAGCATCCATCCCCAATCTTTTTGGCACCAGGGACCAGTTTCATGGCAGACAATTTTTCCACAGAGTGTGGGGGAGGGATAGTTTCAGGATGAAACTGTTCCATATCAGATCATCAGGCATTAGAGTCTCACAAGGAGCATGCAGTGTAGATCCCTGGCATGCACAGTTCACAATAGAGTTCATGCTTCTATGAGAATGTGATGCTGCCACTGATCTGACAGGAGGTAGAGCTCAACCTGTAATGCTTGCTTGCTTACCCACTGCTCACCTCCTGCTTTATGGCCCGGTTTCTAACAGGCCTCGGACTGATACTGGTCTGTGGCCCCAGGGGTTGGGGACTTATGTTGTACAGGACTTAGAGAATAGCTATCTAACTAGCCGAAGTTTAAATCCATGTAAATTTAAGTTTCTGTGTTGAAGCTGCAGAGATGCCTTTGAGCTATAAAAACTAACGATAACAAAATGATATGTTTGTCTTCCTCTACAGGAGTTCATCTTTATTATGTTGGAGGGGAGGTGTATGCCGAATGCCTTAGTGACAGTAGCATCTTTGTGCAAAGTCGGAACTGCAACTACCATCATGGATTTCATCCTACTACTGTTTGCAAGATCCCTAGTGGGTGTAGTTTGAAAATTTTTAACAACCAAGAATTTGCTCAGTTATTGGCGCAGTCTGTGAACCATGGATTTGAGACAGTCTATGAGCTCACAAAAATGTGTACTATACGTATGAGCTTTGTGAAGGTAAGTGAGCCCTGACTCCTCCATTTAAGGTCTAATATGCTTTTACTGATTTGTTTTTTTTTTTTTTTTTTTTGTTTATATGAATCCATATCCTCTTGATAATATGTTCATATTAGCTGACTTATCTATGCATTTTTAAACTTTAGCAAGAATGTCAATTTTTAGGAAAATATCATTGGAACATAGATGTACTTATATTAAATATCAAAAGCAGTAGGTTTTAATAGCCTTTTCCTTATTCAAATAGCACCGCTTTAGCTATTGTATTACCATTAGCATATGCTGTTATATATTTAACACATCATTTAAAAGATCAGTTGAATAAGCATATCTTCCTTTTCATTCTCATTTTTAGTACTTTTATGGTGGTAATGCTTGTTTTTGTTTCAACAGTAAGCAAGTGACTTTAATTTTGTAAAAATTAAAGTTCATCGCATTGGAAATTTTGTTTGGTCAGGTTTTTTTAGTGGTTTCAGTAAGCCTCATGATTTTTTTATCATTCAAAAGTTAGTAAGACCCTTGCCCAAGATAAATAGATGCCTTAGCTCAAAGATTGCATTGTAAGTTTTGATGAGGGAGAAGGCTAAAGACATTGCTCATAATAATTCATCTTTTTGCTGTCTCATCTTCTGCCTCTGAGAAATAAAAATGTTTAAGATGCCATTGAAATCTAAAAAACCTTAAATGTCTGATTACATTTCATGAGTCAGCGACTTATTCTAGTAACTGACCTATCTCTGAATTCTCAAAAATAAATTTTATCCTCTGGTACTTTGAGAAACAAAACTAATTATATATTTGAGTGAGCCAATTACCTTTTATATCTTCTCTTCAGAAGCTCACCAAACTTGTTGTTAAACCTGTTTTGTAATGTGTTTATTACTGAGGATAATTTCGGAGCTTTACTTGTTGATCATCCCTTAGATCATAGATATCTTTTCCTGAATATAATTACTTTTCCTACTTATTTAAAGCATCTTAGATTTTCAGTGTGTTCCCTCGGTGTTTTTGTTTGTTTGTTTGGCAGTGTACTTCAACAGTTATTTGTAGCTGAGTCTGAAATTAAGGAAATTTTTTTACCCTTTAAAGAGGTTGACCTATATGCTATGTACATAGGGGACTACAAAGACCTTTCTTATTCATTATTAACATGTGCTGTTTAATTTTTGTCTTAGCATTTGGCTCAAATGATTTTTAAAATAAGAACAATGACCTGGCAGAGTGGTTTTTGTTCGTTTTTATTGGTATGGAGGAAAGAACAGCTCTATAGAGTTAAGATGCAGTTTCCAGTTTTTTCCCACCATTTTAACTGTATGATTAAGGCATAGATTTCTTCTCTGGTTCTTATGTTTATCATCTTTGAAATGGAGGTGGATGGAGTTGAGAACTATAGTAATTATTTTTAAGGTCCCTCAGTGAGTCTATTATTATTGAAGGATCACTCTAGGTGAATTTATGACTTTAATGTTCCAATTAGCTTTCTCCTCAAACTCATTTCTTATTGATTACCCAATCAATTTTAATTATTTTACTTTTGTACAGTTTTAATAATTTACTTTTACATAAGTAAAAACACCCTTTACACTAATAAAAGGTATTTTTAATACAAAGTTATGTATTCAAAATTTATTAGATTTCATTCGTTCAGCAGATACTTGAGCACTATTTCAGAGATGTAATACAAAGATGAAAAAGCACCTAAAGTCTCTATCTTCAAGATCCTTATGCTCTAGTATATCTTTAATTATAATGTGATAAGCACTAGAATCGAGAGTTATACAGGATATAATGAGCTTAGCCTGGAAGTTGGATTTAGAGAGCTAAAGATAAATATTATTTAAAAATTCAGCTGAATGTTCAAGAGAAGTTGTTTATCATATATTAGCAACAAAAAATTTGCACACTGTTTTTACAAAATTGTTCTTTATGGTAAGGACTACATACTTTATCCTCTCCCATTCAGCATTTTAAAGGAATTATAATAGAACATTTTACTAACGATAGCCAATCTTGTGCTGTTTTTAAGATGATCATTTTTGGATGTTAACATAAAACATATTTTATAAATTATTAAACTCGCCTATGTCTGAAACTCTCCTGTGTCTGAAAATTCCAAGTCAGTTCAGCTGAACATGTGTTTATTGAGCTTCTGCTTTCTATTATTATGCTATATATTGGAGGTAAAGATAAATTCCTGCCTTCAAATATCTTGTTATCTGATGGAAGAAACCTGCACATAAACCTGTAAATTAAATTTAGGAGTTTGTTTATGTTTACAAATACATGGTATACATACATCTATATATATATGTAGTTCATATAGGTTCTGATGTTGAGTTATTTTTCTTTTCTTTTTTTTTTTGAGACAGAGTCTTCCTCTGTCTCCCAGGCTGGAGTGCAGTGGCATGATCTCAGCTCACTGCAACCTCCACGTTCCAGGTTCAAACAGTTCTCCTGCCTCAGCCTCTCAAGTAGCTAGGATTACAGGCTGCCACGCCACCGCACCTGGCTAATTTTTGTATTTTTAGTACAGATGGGGTTTCACCATGTTGGCCAGGCTGGTCTTTAACTCCTACCTCAAGTGATCCACCCACCTGAGATGTCTCGCTCTGTCACCCAGCCCGGAGTGCAGTGTTGTGATCTTGGCTCACAGCAACCTCCGCCTCCTGGGTTCCAGTGATTCTTATGCCTCAGCCACCCGAGTAGCAGGGTATACAGGCATACACCACCACCATGCCCAGCTAATTTTTATATTTTTAGTAGAGACCGGGTTTTGCTATGTCGGCCAGGCTGGTCTTGAACTCCTGACCTCAGGTGATCCACCTATCTCAGCCTCCCAAAGTGGTGGGATTACAGGCATGACCTACCATGCCTGGCCCCAGATATATTTCTTAAAACTACTGGAGTAGGTAGGTAGCACAAATAAATAGAACCCAGCCTTCTCTAATATTCCTCATGAAACAACAATTAGAAGATTAATCAGAACATCACATTCATTGGCCACCCACACCAAAGAGTTTTTGATGTTTGCAGTAGCAGTTACTTTTCTCTTTTTCATAGTGACTTTATTCTGTGGAACTGTAGTATCTTAATGCAGTCAATCTGGCAAGCTACCTTCTTGTACAAATGAATGATAGAATGTATTCATTGATGGTAATGGCTAGGTGTCAGTAATAGCTTTTTGGATACTTGAATGTACTCCTGCCTGTTTTGCTTATAGATTGAAAGATCAAGAGCTGTGTGTTGATAGAAGGACCTTCAGTGGCTGAGTAGGGAAGAAATTGAATGTCAGTCTGTCTAGCATAGCTTTTCCTTATTTTCTTGATGATAAAATGAGAATTTAACAAAAGGTATTACATTACTATCAGTAATGTAATAGGCAATGAAAATTACAGTTTTAAAGTGTCTTTATTAAGACAGCTTTATAGTGTATTTTAAAACCTTCATTCCTCAAGATCAGTAATTCTTATTGGAATCCATGGATGGACCCTGGGGAGCTAACATCCATCCCTTGAATTGCCTGCCAAATTATGTGTGTGTTTATGCATGTGTGTTTTTTTCTCCCCGGGGATGGGGGGCAAGGGGGAAAGATGCATAGCTTTAATCAAAGTCTCTGGTTATGTAAACTCTTTTTACTTAATAAGTTTAACCACCGAATTAAACAAGTTAAATGACCTCCAGTATGTTTTTCCTAGGGCTGGGGAGCAGAATACCACCGCCAGGATGTTACTAGCACCCCCTGCTGGATTGAGATACATCTGCATGGCCCCCTCCAGTGGCTGGATAAAGTTCTTACTCAAATGGGTTCACCTCATAATCCTATTTCATCTGTGTCTTAAATGGCCCCAGGCATATGCCTCTTGAAAACTATTGAGCCTTGCATGTACTTGAAGGATGGATGAGTCAGACACGATGGAGAACTGACAAAGGAGCCTTGATAATACTTGACCTCTGTGACCAACTGTTGGATTCAGAAATTTAAAAAAAAAAAAAAAAAAAAATCTTGGTAACATACTATTGATATCAAGAACCTGTTTAGTTTACATTGTAACATTCTATTGTAAAATCAACTAAAATGCAGAGTTTTAGCAGGATTTTGTGTATAGTTAAAGGGGAGATGGCCAGGCCAGGGACAAATTATCTATTAGAAAACAGTCCTAAGAGATTCTTTTGTGTTTGGCACTTTAAGGTCATCATTGGGCAGAAGTTTAGCATTAATAGTTGCTCTGAAACAGGTTTAGAGCCCATGTTGAGTCTTCTTTTCATGGGTTTTCGTAATATTTTAAAACTATTTGTTTAGCAATGGTTTTGTTTGTTTAAGTAAAGGTTAATCTTGATGATATACATAATAATCTTTCTAAAATTGTATACTGACCATACTTGCTGTCAGAATAATGCTAGGCGTATGCTCTTTGCTAAATATGTATGTACAGAGTATTTGGAAGTTAAGAATTGATTAGACTAGTGAATTTAGGAGTATTTGAGGTGGGTGGGGGAGGAGGGAAATGACAACTGCAAATGTAGACTATACTGTAAAAATTCAGTTTGTTGCTTTAAAGAAACAAACTGACGTCTGAATTTTGCTGTGTTTCCATTTTTTTTTTTTTAGAGATTTTTATTATTTTTTTCTCTTGTTTGGCATTCTTTTATCTCATCCTCTTCAAAAAGCAGTTCTGCAGCTGGTTAATTCATGTAACTGTGAGAGCAAATGAATAATTCTTGCTATTCTGAAATTGACTGCCTACATGTTTCAATACCAGTTATATGGAGTGCTTGAATTTAATAAGCAGTTTTTATGAAGTTTACGATACAGAAATAGGCTTTAATTTTCAAGTGAATTTTTTGCCAAACTTAGTAACTCTGTTAAATATTTGGAGGATTTAAAGAACATCCCAGTTTGAATCCATTTCAAACTTTTAAAATTTTTTTGTACTATGTTTGGTTTTATTTTTCTTCTGTTAATCTTTTGTATTCACTTATGCTCTCGTACATTGAGTACTTTTATTCCAAAATTAAGTGGGTTTTCTCTACTGGAAATTTTCAATAAACCTGTCATTATTGCTTACTTTGATTAAAAAATTGTCATCTCCTTTGTTCACATACTAGATTTTGGGATCAGTAAAGTTTGCTACTCTTCTGAGAGTTTTTTCTCAAATGTCTTCCACCCAACATGAGCAAAGTTGCTAATACAGAGACAGGGACACTGAAGCATGAAGAGACCGGAGCCAATTTAAATCACAAAAGAAAGGACATGTTCACCTTAAAAAGTTAAGAAAAGCTACCAAAATCTAAATGTATAAACTTTTTAATTTTAGGAATTACAGCAGTAGCACTTTTTGGTTAGTACCATGCAGTCAACCAAAGTAACAGTTTCTAAACTTCAGATGAAGATGCAAGTGTGACTGTGAGAGGAGGTAGTAAAGGGAGAGGGATGAGAACTCAGTACAGCAGGAGATGACTACCTTTGCAATCTATTTAAGACTGGGATGATCCCAACACTACCCACACCCTCCCAAAAAAGTTTACCAATGAGGGACACAGATTGAAGAACACGTAGATTATTTCCTGGCCCAATAGATGCCATTCTTTCTCCTTTACATTTTTATATATCTTTCCTGGAGTGTGTTTATGAGGCATGAAGTTTAAGGACCATCCCTTTTTAAACCCAGTTTAAAAGAAAATAATGCCTTGCTTTTTCACCCCCAAAATAAAATGTTTATTCCCTAAACTATGACCAAGCAAAAATTGCTGCTGCTGTTTTTTGTGTTCGAAAACATCGTAAGTAGAGAAATCCATGGATAGTCCTACATTATAACACAAATTCACGCACATCTTTGCTGGATCACTTCTGTAAATTTTTGTTTCTTCATTTGTCAAGTGGAAATAATATAGTTGTGTCCTTATCACAAAATTGAGGTAAAGATAGCTTAAAAACTTCTGCCTTGCAAGTGTGGGGATCACTTGAACTCTCCCATATGCTCTATTTTCCACTTACCTAAGTCATTTCAAGCACAGGCAATCTAGATAATAGTGATTGGTGAGATGTAATCATAGAAGATATTAAAACAATCAGGCCCAACAATGAAGTATGACTGGAATTGTCTGGAAATAAAGAGCTGAGGCCAGGATTCCTCATCCTTTTCCTAGTAGAAAGCCATGTTTGACTTCCCATGGTTGCCTGCTGGGACAGTTACACACATTGTTAGTTGGGTGTAGCAATGCTGATAGCCAGCTTGAAGTTCTGTCAGATAAAACACAAAGATCATCCAGTAGATTGAAATCTCCTGGTTGGGGACCTGTAGAGTTTGCAACATGGTGCATAAGTAGGTCCTTCATGGTTAAGTGCAACTCTGTATATTTTTGGTGAAATCTTAGGAAGATGATTGTCATCAACCATAGGAGGCTGTAAGTCTCTTTCAAAGGTTTAATTAAGGAATGGAATAAATCAACTATTAGAAGTGGAGGGTCCTGAAGCTCTTGTCTCATTCCATCATTTAATATTATTTGACTTCCAGTGAGGGTTTTAATTTTTCTGCACCTTTTTTCTTATCTGTAAAATGGAGACAATAAAGCCTACCTCCTGGGGTTATCATGATCAAGCCAATACATGCATAGCAGAACCTCTCAATAACTGTTAATACAGCCAACTAAATCTGGCTGGGAAAACAACTGAAAGGAATTTTATTCAAGAGACATTTGACGAAGACCTACTTACCTTTGAAGTTCTTAATAAACACAGTAGATCTTATCTTCAAGGAACTCAGAGTCTAGAGAGAGAAACCTGGAGAAAGAAAACTAGCAATGCATGAATGCCTAGCCTATTGTGTTCCAGGACTCTGCAAGGGGTTTCCAAACATTGACTCTTTTCATCCTCACAAGGACATACTAGTTACTACTCCATCCTCAACTCCTTATGCCATTTTTCTTATAAATGAGGAAATTAACTCAGAGCCTACGTAAGTTGCCCAAAGTCACCTAGCTAATTTAGAAATCAGCTTCAATTCAGATCTGACTTAAAATCTAGAGTTAATTCTATTAAATACTATATTCTTTCTCTTATGAGTTCACAGTCATTCGCACTTACTACAAAGTAAAATGAAGAGCACAGAGGGAAGAAGTAGTTCAGACTTGGTTAGATGGAGATTAGTGGAGGTTTTACAGAGGAAGTGGCATTTAATATTGAGCCTTAAATGATGAGATTTTGATAATTGGAGGAACTTCCGGGCAGGAGAAGAGTCCAAGACAGATACCTGTTGTTTGGCATGCCCCAGCATCTACCCCCCAGTTTTTACAGATGTGCCTCCCAGACTATCATACTGCATGACATATCCCCTCTGGCCACTGTTGGGTGGAACCTGCTCTTTGGGAATTCTGGAGCTGGAAATAAAGTTTGTCCTTGCATATCTGAAGACGCAATAAACCTTGGGAATTGTCCCCTGTCATCTCACCTGCTATATGGGCTGGAGACAAGAAAAAGAGAATTTTCAGGACATCCAGTGTCCTGGGTCTGAGATTTATCAAGACCTGCCACATTTCTCTTCTTTGCTATCCGTGGATACACCAGAATCTATACAGATAAATCCTCCCTTTTACTTAATGTAGTTTCACTTGGGTTTTTGTTCCAATACAGTATGAAATTATTTGTCTTTTTTTTAAAAAAAGATAGATTTTTAAAATTATTTTCTTTTAACCAAAATAATACTTGTCCACTAAAGATTTTTAAAGTATGGGTTAAACAAGCAGAGTCACGCAGCAGAAGCATGCTGAGCCCATAAAGTACTGGGTAAACAAAAAGAAGAAGCTTAAAGTCACCTGCATTAACCCATGATAATTAAATGAGTTTATCCTTGAACTGGGTGATGAAAACCTGGCAGAGATAGCATGCTATAGGAAATGCAGGTCTAGAGGCTAATTGCAGCACCAGCTTGGTAAAGAGATGATGATTGACTTCATTTGTTAAGCAGTTATTGAGTACCAATCCTGTGTCAGCCACTGTGGTAGGTGACAAACATGAACAAATCTCAGCCCTGCCCTCAAGGGGCCTGAACTCTAATAGGAAAGGCAGACAAATAAATAGACTGATGGCACGGTGCCATGATAGCAAGGGGCACAGAATGGTACATAACCTAGACAGGAGTAAGGGGAGACTTCTCAGAGGAGATAGTGCCTCAAAGCTGAGTCTAATAGGTATTACACAGCAAGGCATGGGAAGGGGGAAATGTGTACCAGGCCGAAAATAACGCACGACTGTTAGGAACAACCAGTAACTCTGTGTAGCTGGAGTGTAGGGCAATTATATGCAACGATGGGTAAGAGAATGGAGAGGTAGGAAGGGGCCAGGTCATTAAGAATCTTGTGTATGTTCTGCTAAGAAATGGGATATTTCTCAAGGATTTTAGCTCCTAGGGATCTCAACCTAAGAGCTAAAAGGATCAAACAGAACAGGGGCCAGGAGAAAACCAACAGCCAAGCACGTACATAAGGAGCAGAAAGGAGCTAAGAAAGAGTAGGAAATAATCACAGAAGCCAAGGGAGGCATTTCAACAAGCAGGGCTTGATTTACAAGATAGAGAAGGATGGAATTTAGAAAAAGTTTACACATAGACTAGGAAGTCTTTGATAACCTTAAAGTTTTGTAGGGGTGGGGCATAAAGCCAAATTATAAAGGACTAAAAAAAGTGGAGGAATTTGTTTCTTTTGTAAAGATGAAGTCTCACTATGTTGCTCAGGCTGGTCTCAAACTCCTAGGCTCAAGTGATCCTCCCACCTTGGCCTCCAAAAGTGGTGAGACTACTGGTGTGAGCCACTGTGCCCAGTTCAAAAAGCATTTTGAATCTAGAAAAGTTTATTGGTGAGAAGGACACAAAGAAAACAGAATGAGGTGGCTAGAGAGATGAGCTGATGTGCAGAAAGGCTCTGTTAGGACAAGGAGCTATGGACATGCCTGTTAGATGATGTGTGCCTCCTTGGTGAGGTCATTCATTCAAAGGGAACTAAGACCGGGCTGAAGAACAGAAAGGTCACAGCAGCCATTATAAAGAGAGGAGTCCACAAGTAATAAACCAAAGCATTGTCAAGAAGTATCAATGTGCACGGCAGAGGTGGGTGATAGGACCTTGAGGTGGATTCAGTCCACATAGTCATACAAAGTCTCTGTAATTTGGGGGCCAAATCAGAGAGAAAGAATATGGTAAAGTGCTTAGAGTTGAGGATCAGCAAAGCAGTCCTGGGGAAATTCTGTCAGACTAATGACCATCATTGGAATAATGGTCTATGTGGAGAAGGCTAAGGATCAAACTAGGAACAAGAAGCCAAAGGGAGTTGCTGGGAAGCTGAGATGACAGCAAAGAGTGCATTCAGTGTGAGTGTCCACAGCCTTCAATCATTACCTCCCCTCAGAGAAATTTGAGACGACAAGCATCTTGAAATTCCCAGAAATAATAAACCCTGAACCAAAGCCATTTCATGAGGGATGCTAATATGGAACAGAGTTGTAAAAGTCACTGGAAGAGAGCTGCAGCGAAGCAGCTTCTACAGACACACACCAGCCCACCCGCACCCTTTCCTCACTGCAGCCTCCCCTGTGCTGCTTTGCCTGCACACATTCACCCATAGTCACCCCCAAACAACATCACTACACCAGTACATATGTGCATCAGCAGACCTCGCCTCCTCTTCCCCACCAGCAGGCATGTGCACCCTGTCATGCCACTGCTGCTGGCGTGAGTGCACCCTGCCCCTTTCCCCATCACATTGCCACTGCTGTCAGTGTTGGCAGGCACAGACACTGTCAGCCACGCCTCACTAGTGCCTCGTCCCTGCACTGTCACTGCCACTGGTGCAAAACTAAGCCCAGAAAACAGTGGACGTACCCTGAGAAGCCACCACTGCTGGTGTAAACGTGCACAGAGGGCACACAGTCCTGTGCTCAACAGCATCCGGCCCCCATGCTAATACCACTACTGGCAGGAGTGGATGCACAGTCACCAGCAGAGTCCTTCCCCCAACCCCACAGACACACACACACACACTGGCACCTCCCAACCATGCTGCCACTGCTGCTGT